TTTTTTATTGCCGGGACCGGTTTGGCTCAGTGGATAGAGCGTCGGCCTGCGGACTGAAAGGTACCGGGTTTGATTCTGGTCAAGGGCATGTACCTTGGTTGCGGGCACATCCCCTGTGGGGGTGTGCAAGAGGCGGCTGGTCGATGTTTCTCTCTCATCGACGTTTCTAACTTTTTGTCCCTCTCAATTCCTCTCTGTAAAATCAATAAAATATATTAAAAAAAATAAAATTTTTTTTATTGACTTCAGAAAGAGAAAGGAAGAGGGAGAGAGATAGGAGCATCAATGATGAGAGAGAATCATTGATTGGTTGCCTCCTACATGCCCTCTACTGAGGATTGAACTCACAACTGGGCATGTGCCCTGATGGGGGAATCAAACCCATGATCTCCTGGTTCATAGGTTGATGCTCAACCACTGAGTCACAGCAGCTGGGCTTTATCTTGTGTTTTAATGAAGCAAGCTTACTGCATCCCTCTTACTGGTCCTGTTTTACAGAGGAGTGATTGATTGGCCTGTCTCAGCTGACATGGCCAACACTGTAGTTAGGAATGCAGTATTAGGTATCTTCACTCTTAAGAGTGCCAACCTCCAAGGAAATAAAAATCTTTCCCAGATCATTTGGTGTTTGCCAAGAGCCAGGGCAAAGGCTCATGCATCTTTGTTTCCCCGAGGCCTAGCATAGCACTGGACATGAAAGATACTGTGTAAACCTTTGGTAAATAAACGAAACTATATTCACATGTTTCCAAAGGATTGTATTTGGCTGTGTGACTATGACTCGATCACTCACTCATTTCCTCTTCATCTATGGATATACAACCTCCCTCCTTTCCCTCCCCCTCACCCCAGGCCTAATGAATAGCCTTCTCAAACTTCTTAAAGGAGTATCCAATACTCTGTTATTTGGCCTCAAGCCACACATCCAGCCTTCTTCTCCCACTGGCCGCTTGAGTATGGTCCATGTTCCAGTCAAATGTAATACTTGCTGGTAGCCAGACATCCTCCTCTCCTTTACTTTTGCTTCTACTACTGTCTTCTAAGTGTGAAATGCACTTATTCTATAGTTGTTGAAATCATCATCCTCATAGACGTAGCTAAAATGCTACCTTTTCTTGGAACCATTTCTTCATTGCTCTCACTCAGAGTAGGCCCTCTCCCCTTCAAGCCTACATTAAGAATCTGCATCTTTCACTAAGCTTTTTGTCTTATATACTGTAGAGGTGTGTGGGGTTTGGGGTGTGTGTGTGTGTGTGTGTGTGTGTGTGTAAGAAGATTAGCTCTGGCCTGGCAACAGTGGACCTGACTCATCTACCTCTCTCCCCTCAGTGGTCAGGGCAGTACCTTGAATCAGGGCAAACCCAAATTCTATTGATTAAAATGAAAGGGAATAACATTCAGATCAAGAGAACTTGCATGTAAAGGCAACAATAAATTGTTTAGTTCTCCATTCACAAGGGATAGCTAAAAGCATGAGGGCTGTACCTTCTAATTTAGATATATTTCCTCCAAATACAACACCTCCTTTATTCTCATATATTTAATTCCATGTTTATTGGTTGAATGCCAAGAATATGTTAGGCCCTAATAAATCACAGTCCCTACCTTCGAGGAACTTGTAACCTGCTCTCTGGATGTTATTGCAGTTGAAAAACCAGTCTCAGAGAGAGAAGCTAAGAATAGAATTTATGAGTCTAATTTCAGAGGCTATTTCTTTTAAATGAAAAGACAAGATAATTAGGTATTTTTATGAATATTAGGACTGTAATGGAAGTTAATATTGACTTTTTAGACATTACTTGATCTGTCATTAAGAACAAAAGACTTGCCAAAACTGGTTTGGCTTAGTGGATAGAGCATCGGCCTGACTGAAAGGTCCCAGGTTCGATTCCGGCCAAGGGCATGTTCCTTGGTTGTGGGCACATCCCCAGTAAAGAGTGTGCAAGAGGCAGCTGATCAATGTTTCTCTTTCATCAATGTTTCTAACTCTCTATCCCTCTCCCTTCCTCACTGTAAAATAAATAAATAAATAAATAAATAAATAAATAAATAAATAATATTAGAAAAAGAAAAGACTTCTACCCACATATAAATGTGAATAGTAATCAAGAGGCAGGATGTACTATTTTTGCTTGCTAGGGGTCTGGCTATAATTATGGTAGTGAGAAAGTCAGATGACTGGACAGTTGCTTATCATCTTTATCTTTCAATATTGATGTTTTATCTTTGAGCTAAAGACTTGCAAGGTAAAACATGTAAACTCCAAGGTGTGACTGGGCTTTTTACCTTCAAGAGTAAGGTTAAAGGAAACCCTGTAGTGAATCAGAATTTATACATGAATAACTTAAAGTAGAAATGGGTTGGAGACAAATTTTCTGATTTAGACTTCACATTCTTAGTTAATAGGAAGAATATTTAACAGAAGCTCATGTGATGAAACTATACTCATTATTTATATAACCGCAACTTATGCATCTCCTTTTTACATTATGTTAGCCCTAGCATCACTAATTGAATAAATAAAATTAGGTATGCTAATCATATCTAAAATTAGTTCAGACATACAAATGCCTTTAAGAATTAATTGTTCTACTTTGCTCACACAATAATACATCATCACTGTGTAGGCCTCAGCTCTGCTCCTACTAGTTCTATGAATTTGGCTAAGTTATTTTTTCTAAGCTTCAGTTTTCTCATCTGTAAAATGGGCATATTTACTTAAGAATAGATTTTCTTTCTATTTTCCATAGTGACATATACTGACCATAACTGTGGTTCTTTTTTTTTTATTTAAAAAAATATTTTATTGATTTTTACAGAGAGGAAGGAAGAGAGATAGAAAGTTAGAAACATTGATCTGCTGCCTCCAGCATGCCCCTTACTGGGGATGTGTCCACAACAAAGGTACACACCCTTGACCAGGATCCAACCTGTAACCCTTCTGTCCCCAGGCCAAAGCTCTATCCACTAAGCCAAACCAGTTAGAGTACTTGTGGTTCTTGTTGACACTGAGAAACCAGAATTGTCAGGATAGAAAAATAAAGGAAATGAGATGAACAGAAAGAGAACAGAGAGAAGGGAGCAAAGGTGTTTTTTTTTTGTTTGTTTTGTTTTTTAAATATTATAGCAATATAAATTAGAGTTTAAAAGTTGTAATACCCACAGCTAACATTGTACTTAATGGTAAAAGACAGAAAGCCTTCATCTTAATGTCAGGAACAAGACATTCTACCCACTTCTAGCCAGGGCAATCAGAAGTTCTAGCCAGGGCAATCAGGCATGACTAAGAAATAAAAATCATCCAGATTGGAAAGAAAGAAGTTAAAAACTTCTTTCTTACATATGACATGACCTTGCAAAAGAATAATATTGGTACTCTACCTCATATCTAAAAACTAACTCAAAATGGATCAAATACTTAAACGTAAGAGCTAAAATTAGAAAACACTTAGAAGAAAATATCAACACAACTCTTCAAGACCTTGGATTAGGTGATGGTGTCTTAGATATGACATCCAAAATACAAGTAACAAAAGAAAAAAATAGATAAAATCATCAAAATTAAAACTTTTGTTCATCAAAGGACACTATCAAGAGAGTAGAAAGACAACTCACAGAATGGGAGAAAATATTTGGAAAGCATATATTTGATAAGAGATTAATATTCACAATATTTAAGGAAACTTTACAACTCAATAACAACTGAAGAACCTAATTTAAAAATAGGCAAAGGATCTAAACAGATATTTCTCAAAAGAAGAAATACAAGTGGCCAATCAGCTCATGGAAAGATGCTCAATGCCAACAGCCATTAGAGAAATGCAGATCAAAACCAAATGAGATACCAAATAGGGTTGCTATATGCAGAAAGACATATAATAACAAGTGTTGGTGAATATGTGGAGAAATTGGAACTTTCACACACTGATGGTAGGAATGTAAAATGGCAAGACCATCTTGGACAACAGTCTTGCAGTTCTCCAAATGACCCAGTTCTTAGGTTTATCTCAAATGGAAATAAATGTACGTCCATGAATACTCACAGCAACATTACCCATAATAGCCAAAAAAGGTGGAAATAACTGAAATATCCATCAACTGATGAATAAATTAATTGAAGTTTATCCACAATGGAATAATTTTTCAGTGAAAAAAAATTTACACATGCTACAACACAGATGTACTTTGAGAACATTATGTAAAGAAGCAGTCACCAAAGAACACATGTATAATTCCTTCTCTATGAAATATCCAGAATAGGATAGAGACAAAGTGGATTAGTAGTAGGGCTGGGTGGAGGTGGCGATGGGATTGGGGGAAATGGAAAGTGACTGCTATAGGATCTCTTAATGGGGTGATAGGATGTTCTAAAATTATGGTGGTGGCTGTATAACTCAATATGCTAAAAACCTTTGGATTACATACTTAAATTGGTGAATTGTACGGTAGCAAATTAGACCTCATTAAAGCTGTTATTAAAAAAGATACATGTGCATATGAGTAAATCTTTTAATTTTAGTGATTAAATTTCATTTGTTAATTCTCTTCTATGTCTGTCACAACAATCCATGTATTCACTTAGATGGTTCATATGTATATTTCCATTACTCTTAGCTTGATAATGTGTAACGGACTAGACATATTTTATGATGAACTGGCAATTTTTATGAAATCCATCTCTTTAGAACGTTTCATTTAAAAGAAAACAAATTAAAAAATGAAAACGCCTAAATTATATTTCTCCTTCATTGTAGTCATTATATCACCTTCATCAATGCATGATTTCTGCTGACCACCAGCAGCTTTACCCCCGGATTTAATATATTCACCATAAATACATTTCATCAGAAATCACATCATTACTTTTAGCAATACATTTATAACAGTGCTCTACTGTCTGGTAGCTTCATAATTTGCTTGCTACTGAAAGACTAAATGTTAATTATAGTTAAATCCATGGCAATTGAGAGAACTTAATGTTTTGATTATTTTGTACCTACCCCTTTTGAATCAATCACTCCAGGTTTTGCATTAAACTTCACTGTCTTCAATCGGGCACGTTCCTTTCTTTCCACCCTAGAGAAAATTGAAAATAAAGACTCTATCACATGGCTGGTCACTTATGATTAAAGTTCCTCATTCAATGAAGGATATCTCTTCTTATCACACAGCTCAAATAAAATGTGTTCTAAAATATTTCTGTTCCTTCGTGTAAAAAAGTATACAAAGACATTATAAAATCTTGGTATAATGTCTTTAGGCTGCTAACACATCCCTTGAAATTTCTATGTAATGAAAGTAGTAGTATTTGGAACAAAGAAGGAGAAAAACCAATATTTCTTATTTAAGTGCCTGCATAAATCCATCAAAATTTATTTCAAAGACATCAGAGCCCATCTAAAGTAGATATTAAGTAAACTTCTCTCTTCAACCTTCTCACCTTTCTTTTTTCTTTCCTTTCCTTTAAGAACACTGGGGAATTTACTATCTTCACCTCCAAACCAAACATGTTACAGATAATCTTAAATTTTTCCTTTCTCCCCAATGTCCTTCTCCTGTCATTCTTCTGCAGACTTCATCATGTACCTGCCATGACATTTATTTATCAATCACTTATTGAGGGCCTACCATGTATCAAGCAAGGAGCTGGGAACAGGGGAAAACCTTTTTTTAAATTTTAAAAAAAAATATATTTTATTGATTTCTCACAGAGAGGAAGGGAGAGGGATAGAGAGTTAGAAACATCGATGAGAGAGAAACATCGATCAGCTGCCTCTTGCACACCCCCTACTGGGAATGTGCCTGCAACCATGCCCTTGACTGGAATTGAACCAGGGACCCTTCAGTCCACAGGCTGACGCTCTATCCACTGAGCCAAACCAGCTTTGGCGGGGAAAACATTTTAACAGCATGATTGCAAAGTACATAAAGATCGATAATGCTGCCGTTAGACCTTTGATTGCCAAGTGGGAGGATAAAGAGAAGTGGAAAGTATTGAGGTGGGCTTCTTGGATGAGGTGTCAATTTAGGTGAACTTGAAGGTTGAGAAAAGCTTCTCAGTAGGAAAAGTTCAGGGAGAATTTCCCAGATAGGGGAGACAACATACACCATGAGATGAGGCTATAAGCATGCTAACGGTGGTAGGATGATTCTGGCACATGGTACACAGAGGATGGGGAAGTGAGGCTGGATGTGGGGCCTCCTTATAAAGGGTATTCACCCACACTAAGGACTTGGGTTTTTTTCCCCTTGGGAAATCCTCATGATTAGAGGGTATAAAACAGGAAAGTAATAGAATAGATTAGCATTTTAAATAAATGACCCTGGTGAAGAAGAAAGATTGGAGGAGGGAAGGGACAGCTGGAAGCAAGACGCCTGTCTATTTATTTATCTTTAAATATCTTTTTATTGATTTCGGGGAGGAAGGAAGAGGGAGAGACATGGAAACATCAATGATGAGAGTCATTGATCAGCTTCCTCTTGCATGCCCCACACAAGGGATCGAGTCCACAATCCAGGAATGTGTCCTGAGTGGGAACTGAACTCTGACCTCCTGGTTCATAGGTTGATGCTCAACCACTGAGTGACACTGGCTAGGTCAGGAGGCCTATTTAGAAGATATTGCCATGACCCAGGCAGGAAATGATTAGATATCATAGTGAAGTGGAGGAGAGAGAGGGGCTTGAGGAATATCAGTAAAATAAATATTTTAGGTGTTGTGCCTCATTTGAAGGATGGCATTGAAAAAGGAGAACAGGCAAACATTTAAATACCTTCCAATTTTTTAATGTTTTGCCTCTCCAGTGTGTCACATCGTTTCTTCCTCTGCCACAATAGCACTTATTTGCACCTCTGTGTCGGCTTCTCTCTCATTTCCCTGTGTCTCTTTGTTTCTCATTACACATGCAAGGCTCTACGGTCTTTGAAAGCAAGCCCATATATCACCCCACAATGTGTTATAACGAGTCCTCCATACGTAACTGTTGAACTAACAGAATATTCATTGCGTTGTTTTAACATGACACTTTAAGTATGGCTAGCTCTCATTTCAAAAATGGGCAAATAAAAGAAAGAGGAAAAACCTAAAGTAGAGAAACTTAATGGTTTCTAAAATCTAAGCTAGTAATAGATTAATAATTAACAACATACGCCTTTTAAGCTGTGAGCTCTTTTGTGCTTCCAGCTGAAACACAGTGAGAATTAGGGTTTCTATAGTTACAGAGGGGAGTTTCAGAATGTATTTATTTCAATGTGAGAGTAGAATATTTGAGTGGAAACAGCTGAACAAAATTTTTTCAAACCTAACCTCACATATGAAAACAATGTGTTCCACGGAGAGTTTCTAAGTGCACCCGACACTCAGGAGTTGGGAGGAGAGCAAGGAAGACTTCAGAGAAGGTGAGCTGCCAGCTGGAAAGACGCTCTCTGACAAAACGCCTTTTCCGAGCTCCTTCAGTTTTACTCAGTTCTAATCCAAGAGCAAATGCTAATTCATATTAATTTCTTTGGGTTTTTCCAACACCACTGTTGTAGCCCTGACTTTATCCTGGCTTCTTTGCATCAACCAGGTGAATTGTGGAAAAGATGAGTCCAATAGATGTTGCCAGAATGACTGTAGCATGCAGAGAATACACATGGTTATTTGATCAGGCTGTGCAAATTCTGCATAAGTCCATAGAACTCATGTGGGCCCCAGACATGCATAACCTTAGGCTCAGTATTCTATTCTAAAAATTGTTTGGCCACAGCATTCTAATTTTCCCCCGTGATTCCTAAGTCCATTCTTTTCAGGTTTCTTAAGAAGTGTCCCTATTAGGCATTATGTAAGGGTCCATCCCTTAAATCTTAAAAGGGTTGCAAAGAATGCTGTCAGATGGATGAACAAACAGACAGACAGACACAAACAGACATGCATACAAATCTAATATTTGATATGGTGTATTATTACTCTTCAAACAGGCAGCAGATTTAGTAAATAATTTTTAAAGCCTTCCTTATAAGGTGGAATGGTTTGGTTCACTCAAGAAGGAAGTTTTGCTTTGAACTTGGGTTGAAAGTTTCATTAATAATGATGATATATAAGTGGTGGCTGATGTTTTAATGCATAATTATTAATGAAGATTTCCTTCAGTTTTACACGATCTCATCTGCTCCCCATAACCCAGTGATGTAGGTGTTATCAGCCCTCTTCCATGGCTGGGTAAGCTGAGACTGGAAGTGTATGCCATTAGAAAGTGGTAGAAATAGGGCCTGAACAGACACCTGCTAACAAATTTTAGTGATTCCACATCTACTCAGTTTCAGAAACAGCATTCAAGGGCCTTCTACACCTCCCTTATCCAATGGGATTAAAAAACAAACAAACAAAAACCCTGTGATGTTGTGGATGGGAAATACATAGCTTTATGACCAATACAATTCCTTCTTAGTCTGGGCTGAGTTTATCACAATTAATAACAACCCCTTCCCTTGTACTCCCATATCCGAAATGTCCTGAATTAAATAGACCATAACACAATTTAAGCATATAATCACTGAGATAATATCATATCTTAACAGCCTGGCCTCAATATTAAGAATTAATTTGCTCTTAACACTGACATTCAGGTTAGCCAAAAGTGTATTTGCAACATTACATCACAAGTATGTGATTGATTTCTCTCCTTGGCAGTCTTTTTAGTGTTCACAGAAATCCCTCCATAGTCCTTCTTTCCCATCACCGAGGCCCACACTGATTGCCCCTTCGATTTCCCTGCAAACCCCCCTTCTTTGTAGTAGCAGTTGTGGCTTATCTTCTCTTTCTCATCTTATTCAGTCCCTGCTTCTCTCCAGTGGCTTCTTGGGATTAAGTGGATAGCTTATTGCTGAAGTGAGAGCTAGGGCTGGGAAACAGGGCCCCATATAGTGCATTTAATTTATTTATTTAAAATATATTTTATTGATTTTTTTTACAGAGAGGAAGGGAGAGAGATAGAGAGCTAGAAACGTTGATAAGAGAGAAACATCGACCAGCTGCCTCCTGCACACTCCCTACCGGGGATGTGCCTGCAACTAGGTACATGCCCCTGACCGGAATCGAACCCGGGACCTTTCAGTCTGCAGGCCGACGCTCTACCACTGAGCCACACCGGTTTCGGCCCATATAGTGCTTTTAGCACCAAAAGCTCAAAATTTGAAGAAAGGAAAATAGCCATCCTTTGCGAATGCACGAAAGTATCAGAAGCTATTCTAAGCACTTTGCCTATATTATCTGTTGTCTGTACAATGGCTTAACATAAAGCTGGGAATAGAGGAGGAACTTAATGAATCTTTGTTGAATAAATGCACGAATAAATTAATACTCAAGGCTACTAGTTCTTGACCTGAATGTGAAAATGGAGGCTCAGAGTCTTTAAGTGACATGACCAAACCACCAGTGTGTCTGATAAAAACAACAACTGTTCGTTGTTTCATGACTTTACTTGGTAAATTTAGCATCACCTAGACTCCTTTGGCAGAAATAGGTGCTATTTTATTTCATAAATCTTTAAGGAAAAAGTAGACAGAATAGAGTTGAGAAGAACCGCTGTACTTCTTTCAGACTCAAGAGAGGCAAGCAATTAATTAGATTGTTTAAGCAGAAATAATCCTTTCCGCCCTGGTTTGGTTACTGACCAAAATACAGAAAATATAAACTGGATGGCAAAATATGAGCAATCAGTTTTGACATCGAGCATCTCCAGAGACAACCACATGGTCATGCTGTAATGAGCCCAACTGTCTCCTCCTGTCCTCTCAGGCAATTTCCATCTGCCCTTTTCAGGTTCTGGCCAACCCCACAATGAAGTCAGGCTTGGAGTGCTAGATGGTGGGAACATCATTTGGTGCTGGGTGTTTGGTTGGCCATGTTCCACAAGGTTCTGTTGCAGGGAGAATGAAAATGCCATCCATGTTACTGGCCACAGGCTGGCTGCGAAAGCTAGGCCAGAAAACCCATATGCAATGCCAGCTGCAATCTCTCATCTAAGAGTCCAGGTGACCAGTCACTGTAGGGCAATGTATAGAGACTTGGATGAAAGCCTGTGGAACAAATCTCAGCGTGGCCATTCCTAAACTAGGTAGTCTCAGAAAACAGAGATTTATGCTAAGAGCCCAGGTTTCTGAAATCACACAAGCCTGGGTTTAAATTCTGCCTCTACCACTTACTAGCTCTATGACCTAGGACAGGCCATCAGGATCTCAGGTTGATATTGTTAAAATCAGAATATTAACACAGACTTCAAAAAATTGTGGTGAATGTTAAATGAGATAATACAAGAAAATTGTTTCATACTGTGTCTAAAACCTAGTAAGAACTCCTTAATTGGCAAGGGCTCCTGGTACACATCTGGTATAGTGGAAAGCCACATGGTTTTACTACCAGAGAGACCTGAGTTCAGCCACTGACTGGCTGTAACCCTTGGTTTCCTTATAAGGCTTTCATGAAGATTAAATGCAACTTTATATTTGGAAGCACCTGGCACAATACAGAGGCAGTGCTGTCATCAGATGGAATCTATCCCTCTATCTGCTGCCCTCTGACTTCTTTTGATACCTGCTATAGACAAGGTTTGTGCCCTCAACCCCCACCTTGTCAGTTCATCTAGAGAAGCCCTGATTCCCAATGTGATGGTATTTGGAGGTGGGGCCTTATGGAGAGAATTAGGTCAGGAGGGTGGAGACATTATAAATGGGACTAGTGCCCTTAGAAGAAGAGACATATGGAAAAAAAAAAATCTCCCTTTCTGCCATGTAAGGAGACAGCAAGAAGGCCATCTGCCAACTAGGAAGAGGGCCCTCACTGGAACCCAATTAGCCAGCACTTTCAATTTGGACTTCCAGTCTCCAGAACTGTGAGAAATAAATGTTTACTATTTAAGCCACCCAATCTGTGGTATTCTGTTATGGCAGCCTGAGTCGAGTAGGACAAAAATGTTATTTATGATACATCCCTCATTGCTCTAATCACAGTGCAGCTGTACCATAGCTACATGCTGGTCCCAAAAACATTGGGCTCCAGATAGTGGCTCAATGACAGCTCTTGGCACCCAGGTGCTGCTCAAGCAATGCTTGCTGAATTAAATTTTGAGAAGTCTTACATTTGTAACTTTGGGAGTTAGGATTGCATATGAATTAGGAACATCTATTCTGAAGCCTGGATTCAAATCCCAGTTCTGTCATGTACCAGCTAGGCAATTTCAGGCAAGTTAACCAATCTCCTGATTTATCAAATGAAAATAATAATATCACTTCCTTTATAAGGTTGCATGTGGTTTAAATAAGTTATTGTAAAGGACTTAGAATAATGTCTAGCATCATGTTCTAGGGGTGTTTTGGTAAATAAAATTCATTCACCATCTTAAAAAAATTGAGGGAGAAGGCAATCATTTTCATCTTGGTTTTACTGGGATGATTAAATGAAATCATAATAGGGAAACATTTTTGTAAGTGGTAATGTCATACACTGATGTTATCCGTTATGAGATTTTCCCAGATCCACTTTACTAGCTGAACTATGGCCATAAAAGGGGCTATAGAGAAATTAAGAATGGAAAAATAACCCCAATGTGATAGTAAATTATATTTGTACCAATTGCCATTTATTTTAAGCTGAATGTAATCTGAAATGAGCTGCCTCATTAGAAGTAAAGTATTAAAGAGTAGGCAAATGACAGGCTTTAAATTGCATTAAAATAAGTGCATAAGACTCTGAAGAACCAAGATGGTGGTGTAGATAAACGCATGGTACTCACTGCCTCTCCAACAACCACATCAAAATTACAACTAAAACACAGAACAACCATCATTTAAAACCAGCCAAAAGCTGGCTGAATGGAAGTCCTACAACTAGAGAAGTAAAGAAGGAAGCACATTGAGACTGGTAGGAGAGGCAGAGGCACAGAATAGGCTGGACTGGCACCCACTTGTATCTCCTTTTTAATCAGGAGGGAGACAGACTCTGTAGAGCTGCCCATGAGGAGCAAGGGATCCCAGCCCTCTATCCCTGGGTCCCAGAGCTGGAAAGAGAAGGCCCTGCAACTTTGGGCCATAAAAATCAGTGGGGATTAGGGCTGAGTGACACAGAGGCTGGTGAAGACCCAGGTGTTCCTTTTAAAGAACCAGGCAGGAACTTGCCCGGTCCTGCTTCTTCTGAGCTCCAGTACCAGGGGCACCCAAACACATATAGGAGGAACTGAATTGACTGGCATCGGGGCAGGAACTTGGGGGAGGCTTTCTCACAGACAGGGCTGCTCACAGAGTTCATTGTGTCACTCAAAAAGACAGTCAACTTAAGAATGACCACTCGTAGGTGGAAGATTATAAGAATAGCACCTAAAATGTTTCCTGGGAAGAAAAGGGTGTGTAATCCAACAAAGGAAGAAGTATTGACAAGGCTGATTAGAATCACAGAACCACAGAGTTGGAAAAAGGCTGAAAAATCATACAATGCAACCCTCCCATCCAAAACCTTGTGCAATTTTCCTGACACCACATCTTCTATTATCAGAATCACCTGGAGGAATTTACAGAAAAATAAAGATTTCCAGGACCCATCCAGGCAGACTGAATTAGAATCTTTGTGTGTGTGTGTGTGTGTGTGTGTGTGTGTGTGTGTGTATGTGTGTGTGTGTGTGTTGGAGGGGGGAGATATGGAGAGAAGGTAGGAGATGGGCATATGCAAGTTTTTATAATGTTCCCTGGTGTGAAAATCATTATTCCAGCTATCTTTCAGGTACTCCACACCATCTCTGAGCAGCTCTGCCTGTGAGTGGACCAAAAGCACTTAAACATGAGCTGCAGTCTATTCCCACATAGCTTTCCTTCCCCACCCATTTCATCCTTGGGGCTTTTTTCTACAGAGCAGCCCCTCAGAGAAGCTTTGGTTAATTAAATCAAACCAAATAAAATGCATGTTGCTTTGACATATTTTTTTTTTGAAGTAAATGAAAATGGGGAGACACAGAATATAAACTAGGGCTGAGAGAAATGCTTTGAATACAAAACAGTTCAAAAAACATTACAAGCCATGGCACAAACTATGAACATCCTCTCAAAGCAACATGAGGCAGCCATCTAGGTGCCCAGAGGTTGAAAGAGCCGCAGGGCTCTGCCTGTGGGTGGGAGAGTCCTAGAGGAGGTGGGGAGGGTCCCTGCAGCTTCAGTTGCTTCTCTGCAAGTCCACCCCTCAAGGTGAGGGAGCAGCTGTGAATAGTTGGCCTGCTACTGCCCCCGCCACCCCACATCCCCAGACCCTTTCTCCCCAGGCTGCCAGGCCACAGGCAGAGAAAGATAGGAGACCAGTCTCCTCTGGGGGGTGCAAATGCTCTTGTGGGGTTATTCTTCGGTATAATTTACACCTTTCCACTGTGGTTCGAGCCAGCTCAGTCACTGGACCACGCTGTGTGTGGGAGCACTTACATTCTTGACTGAGGATTTAAAAAATATATATTTTATTGATTTTTTACAGAGAGGAAGAGAGAAGGATAGAGAGTTAGAAACATCGATGAGAGAGAATCAACCATCAGCTGCCTCTTGCACACCTCCCACTGGGGATGTGCCTGCAACCAAGGTACAATGCCCTTGACTGGAATCGAACCTGGGACCTTTCAGTCCGCAGGCTGATGCTCTGTCCACTGAACCAAATCGGTTTTGGCTTCACTGAGGATTTTAACAGAGGTTTTGGGGGTCTGGATGGGAGGGGGGCCCTTTGAGAAACCCGCAGCTCATGGTGACTGCTCTGAATGAGCATTATTCCCGACTTTCATTTCTTGCCATCTCTCTTCTCTAGGGTGAAGATAATTTGGTTCTTAGTTAGACTCTGGGGGAGGGGAAGTTCCTTTCTGCTGGTGAAGATTAGAAGCTGCGATGGATGAAGGACTTGGCTGTTCTGAAGTACATTCCTGCCTTTCTAAAGCGTAGTTGAACAGATCCTTAGCAAAGAAAGAGTATAATACTCTGGACTTAGGAAACACAAAACTAAATATCTGAGTGGAGTGAGCCAAAAAGTGAAGGTAGGGTGAGACCAGGGTAACTAAAGGAGTGAAAAGCAACTGTAAATTCAGTCTTTCCACCTCACCTGATTTGATAGCTCGTGTCCCAAGCATCTGGATTTGGAATGGAATGGAAGTTTGTAGTTGATTTCCTTCAATATTTGCAGGTAACACACAACCAGGGTCTTATCTTAGTCAACAATCTACTTTCTTTGGCTTTTACCTGGTCTTTCTAGAAAATTACCTGTTAAATTTTGAAACTTTGGGATAAGCCTTCTGAGGGTGTAAATCAGCATGCAAGCTGATGGACACGATCTTGCAATTGGGAATGCTGGTGGAGGTTGAGAAAGGCAGTGCCGGCGGGTCTTCTTTTTTCCTTTGTGCCCTGTCACAGTCACCCGTTTCAGTAAAACCCGAACATGAAGGGAGTGAGACTATTTAATTTGTATCACCTGTCCCCACTAACCATTTCCCTGCAGATGGACTATCCCACTCACAGAGATCATTGTGAACAGTTTGCCACATGTCCATCCTCCCTCAGCTCCCCTCTCCGCAGAGCGGAAGGGCGAGTGCTCTGAAACAGAGAAGCCTTCTTACCTCCGCTTGCTGGGGATGACCCCCATCTCCTCGCTGTCTCCATCCAGGGTGACTCTCCGGGCTTGCCACCACTCATCATCAGAGGCGTTGATCACGTGGAGAATGTCTCCGTATTTAAAACTAAGTCCTTGACTTGGCAGCCCACTGTCCTTGCTCTTGTCATAGTCAAACATGGCTCTGGAGGGGATAACAAGAGAGGACACAGTTAGGATTCTCTGGAGCACAGAGTTAGGGTTCCCAGTTTTGATTTTTCACTCTTGTCCTGAGCATGCAGCTTTTAAGACCAACTCCCAAATCGCAGTCCACGTTCCCATTGCTTTGATCACAAATGGAGGTCAGTTCTTGCTTCTCCTTGGTGGTTGCAGGGAGAGCCTCTCTAGACTCCTGAAACTGGGGTGCTTCTCTTGGAGACTATCATTGTAACAAGGTGGTAATAGGAGATGGTAAAGCTAGTTTAGTACCTGATGACGTTTTTTTTTCTTTCTTTTCTACTATGGTCAATTTTTAAAAACAAGGAAGCCATGAAGAGAAGCATGGGCATCTTTCTGAATGAAACATCTGTGTTACGGACAAATCCTCTCCATTGTTCCACTCTGTAGAACCCTTTCCTTTATAATAGGGAAAAATGGTAAAAACTCAAATGTCCACTCAGGGGACTGTGATCCTCCATGCAACTGGGATACTAGTCCATCACTGAAAGTGGATGGTGGCAGAGGTTAATATCATGCCATGAGTAAATGCTTAAAATGCAAATCTATACACCTATGTTTATGTGTGTGTGCATAGATAGATCAAAATTACACAGACAAGACAACTCTTGCTGCTTCCACAGAATGCTGAGCCCACTTCATCACTGCAATTATCACTCTGGGTCATATGTCTTGCTTTATGTATCATGCTTTCCCCACCGAAGAGCATTTGCTTAGCCTAGCAAAGCCCAACACATGTATGACTGGTGAGGTGAAAGAGTTGGAAGCAGAATTAAAACTATGATGGAGATCTTATAATAACCAGCTCTTGCTGTTAAAAAGTACAATTTGTCTCAAATTCGATACTGGCCCTCTCCTCCTGTACGCCCCCCTCTCACAAACCACCACCATCACACAGCATACAATTTCTCTAGAGAAGCAGATTTTTCCATTTTCCTCTTAATTCCCCTGTGATTCCATTCTAAGAATTTCCTTGGAGTGCAACCACTATGCAAAAAAAAAATTAACTAGATCTGGGAAACAGACTTTTCTAATATCACTGAGGACTAAGTGGGGTTCTTTTCATTATTTTTTCCTCCTTATGAACGAAATGCCACATCTGCTGTCATGGCAACCGAAAAGAGCCAAGGCAGCATCTAAAGCTCTGAAATGCTGCAGGAACCGTCGAATTCCTTGCAACACCGCCCCTTCTTCCACTAACTCTATCCCCATGGGAGGAATATGGGGGAGATTTTCAGTTTCGGCCCCAGAAGGACTCCTTTCTACCTTGGCCATTTGCATGTTCCTACCGAAAGTTTCAACAAAGCCTATGCTTCCATAGGGCGGGAGAGGACAGAGACCCACTCTGGAAATTGTCACTTCTCTGGCTGGGTGATATGGCATAAATTAACATTCCTGAGCCACAGGTTTTTTTCATGCCAAATTAGTCCAATAACTATATTCATGGGGAGCATACAAATAGCACATACAAAGCACCCCACCCCTGGCAGGTGCTGCATAGCAGAGTGTAATACAGGGGTTAAGAATATAGACTGAGGATCCAGAGATAGAGCATCTATCAGATCATCAGACCTCAGAGGGGAGGTAGGGAAGGGTGGGGATAAAGTAAAGAGATCAACCAAAGGACATGTATGCATGCATATAAGCCTAACTAATGGACACAGACACCAGGGCACTGAGGACATGAGTAGAGGGATGGGGGGACAATTGGGGATAAGGACACATATGTAATACCTTAATCAATAAAGAAAAAAAATAGAAAAAGAATATAGACTGAGGGGCCACACTGTGAGGGCCATAACTTGGCCTATGACTTTCTACAAGTCATATAGCTGGTCATCCAGGTGAGCTACTTACCCTCTCTTAGGGCTCAGTTCTGCCTTAGGTAACAGAGTGGTGGTAACAGTACTCCATGAAGGAATTGTATGGATGAAATGTTACCTAAGGCAATGCATGAAGAGCATGCACAGCAGTTTCTGGCTCATAGTGACAATAAGTATAAACTGTTATTATTATTTGCCCTTTCCCTTTTGAGTGTATATTCACAAAAATCCTTTCCATGAGTGTTGTTTATCTTGGACAATCTTCCCCTCTGGGATCACACCGATTCAGGCTTGTCAGGTCCCTAAAAAACAAGCAGCTGACACGTTTCCGCAGTGCCTGGCTCCTTTGGATATTAATGGATCATCACATCTGGGAAAAATGCTCCAATGCCTCATCGCTTAATTTAAAAAGCGATAAGCTGTTTTTAATTTGCTTTATGTGCTAATTCATCACAGCAACTTTTATAAAATGTCATTAAGACTCACACTTCCCACCCAGGGTGCTTTTAACAAGTCCATTAGACAAGAGGAATTAGATATGAATAATGCAGTGGCTCTCCCATCCTTCTGCCCCTCCTGCATTTCAGTGTGTGGCGGCCCTGGGCCAACCCAGGGAGTCTAGGGAGGGAAGAGGAAAGCTGCTCATCTTCAAGGCTGAGGGCCGTGGCTGGGAGATACTTGGGACCTGATGAAACTGTGCTTAGTAAGAGCCCACAGTGTGCTAAGGACTCTATATTCATTGTCTCACTCCATTTCCCAGAGTGGAAGACAACAGTTGGGTTATATGCTAAGTGTTGGAGAAAGAAGAGACCTGGGTTGAAGTCCCAACTCTGCCAATCCTAGTTGTGAATTTCAGGAGGTATGTTACTTCACCTCTGAGATGGCCTCTGAACCATAGATGACAACTCCCTACCGATGAAATACAGATAATGAGGACATTAACTCAAAAGATTGTTATAGACACACAACAATGGGAAGATGCACACGAAGTGCCCTGCACCAAACAGAATGAATTTCATTTTATTACTTCTGATAGTGATCCTGCCATCCAAGCAATTTTGATCTCATAAAGGAAATGAGACTCAAAGATCCAAAATGAAAAAAAAAAAAAAAAAGCAAAAAGCTAGTACATGGCAGAACCAAGATTGAAATATAGATAGATGTGTCTGAATCTAAAGCCCAGCTTGGAATTCTCGATTAGGAGTATGGGACTTAGACCACATATCCGAGGACTTTGTGATTTGATGGTCACATTTATGAGAACACCATGGATTGGATTCCAGGAGAGAGGTGTGGGTCGTTTATTAAGTGCACATTCAGTTCTCACAACTGCCCTGCCATGCATATATCGGCCCTGTATTACACGTGAGAAAATACAGATTTGGGTAATCTAAGTAGCATATCCTGAGACACACCAGAGTCACACCAACTGTCAAGTAGTGAGGCAGAACTCAGCTCAAAACCTGTCTACCTCTGTGAGGCCAGAGAACTTCCTGTTAAACAACCCGTGTGTTTTTGCAAACAATCTTCTCCAATCCCAAACATCCACACACTCTATTGTGCTAAGACTGCAGTAACGTTTAATAACCATGGGTCATGATAGCATGCTAGTCAGAGGATCAATTTTGGCTGTACCACTTTGAGATTGGCATAGTGGAATGACAAGGGTGGAGAGAACTACAGGGATAGTAGCCCTAAGAACAAGAAAAAGCACAAGACGTGTCTCATGGTTGCCCAGGATATGGTAGGAAGAATAATCCCCAAGCCCCTCTTGCCAAAGGTGTCCACACCTTACTCCCCAGAACCTATGACTGTTACTTTACTATATGGCAAAAGAGATTTGCTGATGTAATAAGGGCTAAGGGTCTTGAGATGGGGAAATTATTTAGGATTATCTGGGTGGAGCCAATGGAGTCTTTAACCATGGAAAAGAAGACAGAAGAATAGGTCAGAGACATGCTACATGAGAAGGACTAGACTGCCATTGCTAGGTTGGGAGATGGAGGAAGGTAATTTGTTACAGCAGTAAAAGGAAACAGATAGCAGAAGACAAGACACAAATTGATTTATGAGAGGGCTGGTAGAAGGCAAAGCCCACCAGTTTAATGATCCTCTCAAAGGCTCTTTAGAATATTTAGACTAAAAACTAGTCAGTGATAATAATAACAACCTACTGAGTACCTCCCATTGGGCTGGCCATTTGCAAAGTACCATTTCTTCACATAATTTTATCTTATTGAATCCTTGAAAATAGCTTGAAATATAGGTATGATCATTTCTACTTCACAGTTAAAAAAGTTAAAGCTTTAGCCCAGCTGGTGTTGCTCAGTATTTGAGCGTAGATCTATGAACTAGGAAGTCATGGTTCGATAATTCGATTCCTTGTCAGGGCACATGCCTGAGTTGTGGGCTCCATTCCCCAGTGTGGGGTGTGCAGGAGGCAGCTGATCAATGATTCACTGTCATCATTGATGTTTCTATCTCTCTCTCCCTCTCCCTTCCTCTCTGAAATCAATAAAAAAAATAAAAATAAAAAATATACAACTTAAGGCTTTGATTTTTTACATTTATATTTCATCCAAATTCTCACAAAAATCCTATGAGAGAAATATTATTGTCCCTATTTTTTGATAAGGATACTGACACAAAAGAAGCAGTCCTTTTCACTTCTTAAGTTACAAAGCAGTCTGCTGGCTCCTTGAAGTGGGAAGCCCATTCAAGACTGGGAGCGTGATTGGATCAGAAGCCACTGCCGGTCAGAAGCTCCCAAGTCTAGCCTTTGCAAATGCATTTATAAAGGAACAAATGAACCAGCAAATTACCCCCTCCTGGGCTGTGAACTGCTTGGGCTGGAGAAGCTTTGGTTTCCATGACAACTTTAAGGTCCAAGAAGCAGAGTGCTTCAACTCAATTTCCTGTCTCTTGAAGTGGAGGCTTCTGCTTGATGAGAGGAGACCTGGTTCTCATCTTTCCATGCCGCAGGAGAGAGAACAAAAGCAGCCGGAAAAAGTCTTCTCTCTGCTCCTCCCACTGTGCCAGGCTTGGATGGGTGTGTTCCATTGTTAAGGGAAGGGGCTCAGGATTGTTCAAAATGCACAGAGGTTGGAATAAAGGGACCCATTCAAGTGAGCCCTTCTCTTTCTGA